GAATCATAAATTACCCAGAAATTTTGCTTCTGTGGTTTAGAATCTTTAGTGGGGTCTATTTTCTACCCATCTGTGGGAGCAACCGAGCCAGCTTATTTCTTTATTAGCCATCAGAATATTTTGACTCAACTTCTTTTTTTTCTTTTTCTTAATTAATAGATCACCATGAGATACGCAGTTACAAAGTTGCTGATGATTGAGTTTCAGTCATACAATGTTCCAATACCCATCTCTTCACCAGTGTACATTACCACTACTAATGTCCCCAGTTTCCCTCTTGCCACCATCCCACCCCCAACCCTACTAGTTTGCCTCCCTGGTAGCACTTTTCTTCTTTCTTTTGCTCTTTTCTTCTGAGCATTATGGTTTGCAATACAGGTACTAATAGGTTATCATGAGAGTAGGTAAAGGAACATCCCTTTACTTATTCTCAGCACTCAGATCTTGTCCAGAGTGGTCATTTCCAACCATCATTGTCGTAGTGGTCCCTACTCTATTCTAACTGCCCTCCCCTCACCCTTCTCCTGGCCTTCATTCTACTCTCTATGGGCCTCATACTTTCTAATATCCCACAGATGAATGCAGTCATTCTATGTCTGTCTTTCTCCTTTTGACTCATTTCACTCAGCATGATATTCTTTAAGTTCATCCACTTATAAGAAAATTCCATGACTTTGTTTTATCCTAGTGACTGCGTAATATTTCAATGTGTAGATATACCGTAGTTTCTTTATCCAGTCATCTGTACTCGGGCACTCAGATTGTTCCCAGATTCTGGCTATTGTGAATAGTGCAATGACCATAAAAGTGCAGATGGTGTTTCTTCTGTGCATTTTGAACCCCAGGGTATATTCCCAGAAGTGGTATTGCTGAGTCATATGAGGCCTCATTTTGGCTCAATTTATCTATCTATCAAGAATGTAGAGGTTTTATTCTAAACATTTCTAAACATTCTTTTCGCTCCCAACTGCAGCAGATTTCCAAAAACCATTTCAGTTCATAGAGTTTAAAGCAGAATAGGAAGAATACACTTGGTGCTGTTTTTTCACTTTCTTAGTATATGATATATAGCTACTGCTAAAAGATTCAGGAAAGTCAGGTGGTTGAATATCACAATCTCATGAGTATTCTGGGTATAGGGGTAAGGCAAGGCAAGGCACAATTATGTGGGTCATTCTACATAATGAGAAGCTAGCTATAGATAAAATTTGAAGAAGTTCATGAAAATTTCCTAATTACCACAAGAGGCAAGAAAGAGAACCCTCAATTATAAATCTTTAAAATCCCCCTGTTAACCTCAAGCCCTCTTACCTTAATCAGGGCTTGGGAACAAAGATTCACAGAATCATTTCATGAAAAGATAGACTGTGCATTTGTATAAATGCAACTACTGTATGGCAATTAAGCCACACACACTGCTGCTTTGTATCATGAGCAGAGTTACTAAGGAGACTCTGCTATTGATGGTTTGGAGATGGTCTCACCGAGGGCGCTGAGATGGTTTATCATGAGTAGATCTAAATTTTAATATCCAATTGATAGTGAATATGCTTTATCATTTATTAAAATTACATTATGAATTAGATCAAGAGAGTCTCTATTTAAGGGCTTATATGGAGAATGCAGTTAAATCATTAATTGATTTTAATGTTGTTTCTCTAAATGTGATCCTTATAGTACTGATATCAGAGTAGTAGTGCATCAGAATAGCCCATTGTACCAGTTCTTCTTTGACCCCTCTGATCCCCTGGCTTCTCCCTGCCCCCTAGGACTAATGAATCAGTCTTAGGGTATATCTCATAAGCACCAGCATTTTAAACAAGTCTTCAGAGTGATTCTTTTGACCTGCCCCCCAACCCCCAACTCTTGGGAACTTTGAATGATGGTTAAGATTTGAGATGTTCGAAGATTTGCTTACAGTTCTGGGTTTTCTTCTGCCAGGGGGCAGTGTTCTCTGAAATATGGTTGCATTAATAAACCTTGCTGCAAGTTCCTTTCAGCCTTTCTCATATCTTTTTCTTATTTACTGATCCAGCCAGTTCTGACTTCATGCCCAAATCTTAAACATCATAGCAGAGGAAATTTCTTCATTTTCTTTTCTTATAGAAGGTTCAGACATATTCTAGGCATTTCCAGTTAGTTGTGTTTTCTGTTTTCTTTTTCTTTTTTCCTTTTTTTTCGGCTTTTGTGCCACACCTGGCAATGCTCAGAGCTTACTCTTGATTCTATATTCCTGATTCTATATTCAGGAGTCACTCCTGGCAGTGTTCCTGATTCTACATTCAGGAGTCACTCTTGGCAGTGCTTAGGAGACCATATGGGATGCCAGGGATTGAACCTGGGTGGGTCGCATTCAAGGCAAACACTCTACCCGCTTATACTATCGCTCCAGCCACTAAGCTGTGTTTCTAGACCTGTATTATGCAATATCAGACTTATTTTTCTCTTGGTAATGATAAATGATTGGATTTGGAATTTGATTCGACTCCAAAGTAGGAATGATCATCACCCTCTCGACAATTACATTCATAATGAAGTTTTGTAGCAAAATTCTGTATAATAGTGGTTGGATGGTGGGCGTGTCTGTGTGTGCACATGTGCACTTGTGTGCATTAATGAGTTCCATATGCACAATAACTCAGCAGATGCTAGAGTTCTTTGGCAGGGCGGCTTACAGAAATAGTGCCTGAGCTGCATCTTCTTAGGCAATTGGTACAAGTGCTGTGTAGAAGCCAATTACAGATCCATTTGACTATTACAGGTAAAATTTCCCCTCCTGAATCGCCACTCTGCATGTCAAAAAAAAAAAAAAGGGAGGGGGGAGAGATGGGGGTGGAAATGGTGATGCTCACTTCTGAGTTTTATTTATTTATTTTTCATTGCTTTTAGCTGGGTTTTTGTAAACAAAATGCCAAACAGAATCTAAGTCGCTGGATCCTGACTGGGCTGGGAAGACTGGAGAGATATAGGCTGTTTTGTTTTGTTTCTGAGTATTTGGGACATGTGGCAGATAGGAGGAAACCATAGAGTTGCCTGTCTGGTTCCCCTTTTTGGGTTATAGTTTATCGCTTTGAAAGACAAACTTATATGTTGAAAATTAACGTAAACAGTAGTGAAATCTTTCATGGAGCTTGCATCTTTCATAAGCTTTGTTAAATGCCCAAGTCCAAATCATTTCAGTATGGTCCATTGAAGCAAGAGACATACGTAGAAAAACTCATAAAGCTGCCTTCCTTGCAAGAGTATAAAGTGGAAAGGATTTTAGAAAGACAACTTAAAGTTTGGCATTGCATATTGTTCTCAAGTAACTGTTCCTAAATTCTCCACTGTGTAATGAAACCCAGGTCTACTGTGCAATCGGCTAGAAACCAGTTCTTGCGTTTGTGCTATCATGGTTTATTTGAGCAGAGCCACTGTCCCGTTAGTAATTTGTCGCGTGGTCAGTTCGGTATTTGTGTAATCACACATGCGCTTTGCAAAAATTGTTGCCAAGGGTTTGGAGAGAGAGAGAGAGAAAAACAAAAGTCAATCCTTTTTCCCCCATTTGAATCCTAATCGAGTAGAATATTTAAATGCTATTCAGATTGAGAAGACTTGGTTCCCATCTGGCAAATAGTTTAGAGAAAAAAAAAAGCATTATCATGAAGCATCAAGCCTTAAAGGACACGCTGCTTGGTGGCCAGATGAAAATTTAGGTGGCAAACAACTAGGGAAAGAGTTCTTTGATTCTATGTTCAGGCTCCCAATGGAGATTTCCTTCTTAAATTCCGTCACCTACAGTTTCCCATTCTAGCTCTCACCTCTCCACCCACCGCCAGCCCCAGGAAAATCCCACACCCGCGCGGACTGCTTTACGGGAAGCAGAGACAGAAACTGAAGCTATTTTGTCCCTCCTCACGGGGCAGAGGGACCTTCTGCTTAGCTGGCATTCCCAGTGTTTTGATACAAGTTACTTCTCTAAACTCCAACAGCACCACAGGGGGTGGGGGGTGGGGAAATAATGCTCGCTCTTGTGTTCGTTACAATCTCGGACGATTTCTTCAAGAGAAATATTGGAGGAGTCAGGAGTAGCTGAGACTGAGACAATAGGGACAGGATTGTTTAAACTACCCAGAAAATAAAGATGGGAAAGATAGGGAAAGTTATTAGGTCTTTAGATAATAAAGCGTCCCACCTTGAAGAAAAAAAAAAAAGAAAAAGAAGAAAAAGAAAAAAAAATCAAATTCTGAGTTTGGCTATCTTGGATGACTACATTGTAAACCTTTGAATTCGCAGAGCTGGTAGGAATCCTTTTTCAGTGCTGATTCATTTGCATCCGATAAAACACGTTTGCTTTTTTTTTTTAAAGGCTGTGTGTGTGTGAGATGTGTGTGTGTGTGTGTGTGTGTGTGTGTGTGTACGTAGGAAGATGAACATACTCTGTTACTGGCTACGGCAACACGAGAAAGCCTCATATTCGCGGGTGAACCACATGAAAGCGTGTGCGTGCGTGTGTGTGTGTGTGTGTGTGTGGGGGGGTGGTTAGGGGAAGGAGCGATCAGGGGGTGGAGAAAAGGAGGGTGATGTTTCCAGCCTGTTCGGCTCAGAGCTGTGATTTGTGAACCAACTGTGATGAAATCAAGCTTTGGGCGAATCAGAGGAGCCTGTCAATCTCCCAGGTGGGATTACTTGTAGTTAATAGACTGAACTCAGAGCCCCCAATAGCAGTGCATTCAGTGTGGGCAAAAGAGCAAACACTGCAAAAGGTTTTCCAAGAACCCTCCGCGATGGCGCGGAGACGCTCATTCCGGCTGGGGCAGGTAGGAGGAGGATGGATCTTCTGAAGTCAGTGTCTGCTCTTGAATTGTTTCCCTCACCTTGTTGTTGTAAAAAAGGAAGGCAGTATTTGGGGGGTTCACGTTGGACTGGGCGATGGTGTGGAAGTCATTTGAATTGCTTTCATAGAATTTGCTCTCGTCTAGTTCAGCTGCATTTGACAACTCAAGCTCTTCACTCCTTAGGTCATATCCCTGTTCACTTTTGCTGTTGGAATCAATATCTGCTTAGGATTTGCAGCAAATCGAGTTAAGAGGTCAGAAGGATTGCACGAAGGCCCTCCTACAGGTAAGTGTGGCAAAACTCTTGCCCTTTTCAGTCCTTTCAAAACATTGTACACAAGTTAAGAGAAGTTCATGAAAAAAAAATCACCTTTAAAATGATCTTGCAATGTAACTAATTTACTCCTCAATGTCTCTGGACTACAATAAACTATAATTCAGGTGAGAGAATATGATTTCAATTAGAAAATATGTAGGCTTCGGATTGACTAACTGTTTAAATCTCTATACTCTGAAATTTACATATGTAAAAGTAAAATCATTGTCCATAGACCAGACTATAAAATAGCAAGAACAGGTACTGACTTGACATTGGAAACATACGAATTTTGTTTGTTCTTATATGATATTGGATATATATTTAGTCTCCAGGACGTTTCTGATGTAGGCAAAAAAGAGAAATGGATGTGAAAAGGTAGTGTACTTACTGTCTTTATAAAACTTCACAAGTTTAGGACTGTACGATTTTAAGATGTATCTACAATAGGAGAGTGTACAAGAGAGGAAACATTTAAAAACTTACCAGATAGATTTAAGCACATTGCTCTCTCTCTCTCTGGTGTATGGACCGGTGCAAGGAAAGGTAAGTTTTAATGATGTCCCTTGACTTAACTGATAGAACTGAAGTGAAAGAGTTTCCTTTTACAATACAGTGCACCATAAAGGAGCTCCTTGTGTAAGAGGAGGGGGCTTAACTGACCAGGTCTTAAGTAATGAGTTGGTTAATTTCCTGGAAATTGGAGCTGCTTGTGGTTTTATAAACAAACAAAAAAAATTACATATTAAGTAATGGCTACTCTAGAGGGCAATATTTTCTTGATTTTCCATGACAGCTCAGCATGTTTGTCTGCCTTCCTCTGAATTTGTACTTTTCTGCCTTTCTTGATCTGACTACTACTGAAATGTATCACCTTAGCCAGCCTTAGCCAGCCTGAGCTGTATTTACTTAGGACGGCAACATGGATGGCTTAAGTCTTCCTGACCTCAAGTAAGTTACATTTTGTGGAATCACGCCTGAAAGTTGAAAGGCTTAAGTTAGTTTAGTGAGTTGAAATGGGGCGGGCTTGGGGTGAAAAAAAAAAAGAGAGAAAATTGATGATAAAACTGCGTTTCAAATGAGCTGAGAGGACAGAAACAACTGTCCTGTCGTGGGGAGGGATAGAAGCAGAGATCGCTGGCTGGAGAATCCTGTTTTTATTGGTAACAAATGCTCTCTTCAAAGACCTCTTTTTCCAGTCCCGGAGGAGTCGAACGCCCATCACCAGCGCACCCTGGAGGGGCGGGGTGGGGGTGGGGAGCGCAGCCTCTGCACGGTCACGTGGGCACGCCAACAGTTTCAGAGCCTCAGGCGGGCTTTCTGATGAACCTAAAGGGAATTTGCCCCCGGTTTGGTTCTAACTTACTACAATTGCTGAAACGGATGTTGAAAAGTAGTTTCTTTAACGGTTGTGTTAAATAAAGTCATTCACTTTTCATACTATAAATTCAAAATATTATGAATCTAATAATATACCCAAAATACTTGCTTCCTGAATTAGGTAAATCAATGATGACTTTATGGTCTTTATGGTATCTTACAAAACCTGTTAGTGCTGGGCCTGGAGCAATAGTACAAGGGTAGAGAGGTTGCCTTGCACACAGTGAACGCGAAATTGATTCTCAGCATACCATCTAGTCCTCCCAGCCTGCCGGGAGTGATCCCTGAGAACACAGTCAGGAATGATCCCTGGACACCACCAGGTTGCCCTCTCCCCGCCCCCCAAATTTATTATATGAAGCTTAGTTTGAGGACAATGACTTTCATGATCGAGATTCACGGAAATGGAGAGGTGGTACAGTGAACCGGGCAGTTTACCTTGTACACGGCTGATCCTGGGTTGGATTCCTGATGCCCCATATGGTCCCCCAAGCATTGCCTGGAGTGCTCCCTGAGCACTGTAGGTTGTGGCCCCTCTCAAAAAATCCAATTTTAGCAATTTGGTTTTCCTGAGCATATTTAGCTCTAATTTTCCTTCTATAGCTGTTGCTTATTCGCTGTTACCGTATTGATTATTCCCGAATAAAGATCAGAGATGCGTTTTGGAAACTGAAGAAAAGCACAGTGCAGAGAGTTTAAGCATTTTGATCTTTTCAAACCTGCCTGTGCCTAATAAAAAGGCTCCCATTGAAAACGTGTATAATTGGTTATTCTGGCTCTCCAAAACGCCTTCAATCAGAAAACACTAGATGAATCTTCTGTATGTGTACTAGATAGTAGTAGAGGCAGCGAGCATGTGCTCTAGAAGTTTTTTCTCTTGGAGGTTCAGTGCCTCAAGATGATTCTATCTACTAGAAGTAACAGATATTACTATATGACTGCTTCAGGCTGACCAAAGCCAGATTTCCATGCCTAGGGCATGCAGTTTCTTCTTTAATAAATTATATTTCTTCAGTGTTCTCAGTGATTATGGAGAATGTGGCACAAATGCAGACCTCATGCTGGAGAGCTAGTGTCAAGGTTGTGGCAGTACAAACATACTGTTCTAATTAACTAGCACACTTTTTACCTGCGTTTATTGTAGGGACTGCGTAATCTGTTGTAATGGTGGAAAGGAGCTTTTTCTACCAGATAGTTCACAGACGATTTATTAGAAGAAACTAGCAGAGCTCATTAGAATTCTGTTGAGTATACTCAGATAAATGAGATGAATGGAATTTATTTTCAGAAACAAAATCTAAATACCAAGTGCTTTTTAATTTCGTGTCTTTGTCCCTTACATTTGATATAGTCCCCATGTTTGACTTGTATGACTGCAAGAAAATGTATTTATACACTAGAGTATGAATGTGTATCTGAGCGTGTGCACTCATGTAACTTAGAGTTGTTGTTTTTTTTTCTTTTTGGGTCATACCCAGCATTGCCCAGGGGTTACTTCTGGCTCTGCACTCAGGCATTACTCCTGGTAGTGCTTGGGGGACCCAAATGGGATGCCAAGGATCAAATCTGGGTCAGCCATGTAAAAGGCAAATGTCCTGCCTGCTGTACTAGCATTCTGACCCCACTCATGTACCTTTGAATGCATGTGTTTGGGGTGTTATGGTGGAGTCTGTTTTATTGAAGTTTGTGAATTAGATACTGCACTCATGTAAGAGATGGTGGGCGACAGCACACATCATGTTACTCAGTGGTCACTCTGGGTAGTGCTGGACGAGTCATTCTGGGTTGTGCTGGAATCCCAGGGCTCCCAAAGGCACTGAGCCATCATCTCCCCACCTAGACGCTCATTTCTGCCTGTGGAATGATGTCCTCAGATGGAAACAATCCAAGCTTTCAAGACAAGGAAATTTGCAAATCTGTAAATTACTGGCTAATAGGTATTTGACTGGTCAGTCTAATCCTCATGGTTTTCCTGGTTAAAGGAAGGCCAAAAGTGTAGCATCATCTCAATCTTAAACTTTCTGTTTTGCAGCGGGACTAAGAGAGACATATAAATTAGAAGTCTAGGTTGAAGAAATGCTTAGGTTACAAGTCTGAATTGTAACCTAAGTTACAATTCAATATTTCCATAGTATTATATTAAATCAGCAATACCTTTATATCACGGGATAAATAGTTCCAAATTTTTTTATTTTATATATTCTAGAAATAAGGTTTCATTTACATTATATATGTATATATGTATACACACACCTTGTTTTTATTTGAATTATGAATTAGGATGAAATTAGTAAAACTTGGTTACTTTTTAAACAATAAAATTAAGGTTCTGTTAAAAGAAAGGATGTAGAAATGTAAGCATAGGTGTGTTTAACGTTTTTTTTTAAGTCCCTATTTAAAAAAATTTGTCTGTATAGACCCATAGCATTTATTTTTCAAGATTCTGAAACTAGCATGTTTTCGTTTTATGCTTTTTTTAGCCCCTACCCCCATTTTTTTTTAAATTTTGGACTTTTGGCCACAGGGTTCACTCTTGGCTCTGCTCAGGAAACACTCATAGCAGTGCTCAGGGAATCATGTACAGTGCCAGAATCAAACGTAGGCTGACTCCCTGCAAGGCAAGTGCTTTACCCACTGTCCCATCTCTCTGGCCGAGGATCTTGTTTTTGGTCCATACTTGGTGGTGCTCAGGGCTTCTGGATCTGTGTTCAGGGATCACTCCTGGTGGTGCTGAAGGGACTATATGGGATGCTGGGGATTGAACCTGGGTCAGCCACATGCAAAGCAAGAACCTTACCTGCTGCATTATTTCTCAAGCCCAGAACTTGAATCTTTGAAAAAAAAAAAACGTTACAGGCACTGTAGTGATAGTAAGGTACGGTGTTTGTCTTGCAAAAACCTGTGTCTTGCACAGGTTTGATCTTCAGCATCCCATATGGTCCCCCCTAGTACCACCAGAAGTAATTTCTTAGTGCAGAGCCAGGAATAACACCTGTGCATTGCCAGGTGTGACCCAAAGAGTAAAAAAAAAATTAAAAAGAAAGCATTACAAAGACAGCAATAGAAATAGAATCTTACAAATATATTGCCTCTTGTGAAGTTCCCAGCCTCTGTCATATATAGTACATATTTCTGACTTAATTCTGTTGAAGTTTTGCTTCTTTTAGTTTCATCTTCATTGTTTGTTCTTAACTTTTTTCATAGTGTTCACGATCTAAAATGAAAGTGGTGGGCTATTGCAGTCTTACTGATCCTTTAGTTTTCATCAGAGCTTTCCAGAAATTTTAAACCAGAAGTGTTCACATGAGCCTTCTTTTGATTTAGATTTAACTTTGAAGACTGTAGAAGTAAACTTATAATAGGTTAGGGAACCGTTTCATTTTATTTATTTATTTTTATTTATTTATTTTTTGCTTTTTGGGTCACACCCCGCGATGCACAGGGGTTACTCTTGGCTCATGCACTCTTGAATTACTCTCTGGCGGTGCTTGGGGAACCATATGGGGTGCTGGAAATCGAACCTAGGTGGGCCACGTGCAAGGCTAATGCCCTACTCCGTGTGCTGTTGCTCCAGCCCTGACCATTTTGTT